TGATGTCAGAGGATGAACATGAGGATTCTGAAGGATTTTAAGTACCGGTAAGTCATAACATTTTCAATAAAAAAATCTGATGTTTTTAAATGGTGTTCCCTCGGAAGGGGGGTAGTCTTATACGGCGAGTATAGCCCAAAACCTATGTTTTAACTGGAAAATTAGGGGGTCGTCTTATACACCCAGTCACCTTATACGCCGGAAAATACGGTATTATATATATATATATATGGATGATATTGTTTAAAAGGAATTGGAGTAAAAAATTTTTGCTTAGAATCTAGATTTGACTAGCAGTAAGGCAAATGGCATGTTGCATAAAAACTGCAGCTACAACCATTTTTATTCTCCAGAGTCTCTGTTTTCAGAAAAGATTTAATATTTTGGGGTTAAACCACTTCACCCCCCACACCTGTTTCACCTCCAATGAACGACCAGAGCAATTTTTACATCTTTTAGAGAAGTGTTCATTTTAAAATAAATAGTGTTGCTGCACATTTTATTCCGGAATTTGTCCTGTTTAAATTATGATTATTGTATAAAGCAATGCAAAAGGTATGTACACCTAAAATGTTTTATTTTTTTTTTATTTTGTGCTTTAAAAAAACAAAAAAGGGAAATGTGTAAAAATAACAAAAAAAAAGTTTAAATATTAATAGTTAGAATAGAAAAAAAAATCAGCAGGAAAATAATAGTTGAAGAGAGAAGAATAAAGAGTTAATTAGGCTGATTAAAGTAAGCTTTAAATGACATCATCTGCAGATCGAAGTTCATCCCTTTGACCTGCTGATGTATGAACAGAAAGATCCAAAAAGTAACAATGTTACATTGCATCTTTTTAGATTTTGCATCTGTGTAAGCGTTATTTATAAACACAGATTCACAGATGCTTTTTTAAACCCCGCTTCACACTGGTGCTACTTGGCATGTTATTAATGACATGCAGAGTCACACGACAAGTGAAAACACATTCATTTCAATGGCAGCTGTTCCAATCAACGTTTTTTTTTAAAGATTCCTGCATCAACTTGATGCCACTTGAATGCAACTTAAGAGTCCCATGGACTAATATTGTATGAAAGTGGCAAGAAAGTTGCACTGGCAATTGCAAGAAAAAAGGGGTTCTCAGAAGTAGAAATGAGGCTGACAGCTGAAGCTGCCGACACCTTCTTATACAACCGTCCCAGCTTTGCATAATCAAAGATGACAATTACCGAATGCTGGGAATGGGGTCCCAGAAGCAGGGCAGAGAGACTGGACATGCTACACACGTCCGGTGTACAATGAGGAGTTTTTTTGGGGCACCAAAAGTCTGGAACTTGTTAATGTACATTTTAGTAAGTGTGCGCAAAATGAAAAATTATTAGCTTCAGCAGTGAAAGGGTTACGTAAGCCCCGCTTTTCAAAAAAGATCTAAGAAAGACCCATTTTAAAGAATTCCAGGTTTACTTTGACTTTAGTTAGATTGGGTCAAGTTGGCCAAAACAATTTCCATCACTAACGGATGCAGCCGCTCTGTACTATACTGTTGTAGGATCAGCTACATACAGCGAGTGGCGCTGTGCTCCACAGTAACTTGGGTGACTTCCTGTCTGCTGCTGGAATTAGACAGATGGTCTTACGGTTCCTCAACCATTCAGGACTCTCCACCATACAAAACTGATTTGCTTAGGTGGAGAGGCAGGTGGATGGGGGGGGGGTCACCATTTCGAACTCTGCCTATTACAGAAAATCTTTGTCAGGAATCCCAGAGATCACCATGGCGCACGAATCTGCACAGTCGTAGGATCCCAACAAGACATACAGGCAGGCGGGCACTAGGACCCAGGCGCGCCTGTCACCAATGACGGCCGGGCAGGGTGCAGCACTAGGACCCAGGTGTGCCTGTCACCAATGATGGTCGGGCAGGCACTAGGACCCAGGCGCGCCTGTCGGTGCCAGGCTATTTAAACCAGCTCATGCAATGCTCACATTGCCGTATGGTCTACATTCCCTGCTCATCTGTTCCTGCGTGAGATACCTTGTTGCCGACCCTGCTTGATCCTGACCTCTGCTGACCATCCCCTGCTCTGATCCCTGGCTCGTCTGACTATTCTTTTGCTTACTCCTGATTACCTAACCTCCTGTTGCTGAAACCTGGCTTGTGACCCGACTACTCTCTGTCTGCTGCTCTGTACCATTCTGCCTCTGCTGTTATCGACCCGGCCTGCTTGACTACGCTACACGTACTCTGTCATCCATCCATCCTGCATGGATCCGGTCACCACTGCCCAGGTCTGCCAGCCTCTTCACATCAGGCTCTCTTCCGATACATACCTCCGGCGGTTCCCTCTACCACAGTCGGGTGCACTCAGGGGTCGCGACCTGGTCTCAGTCTGCTCCAAGTCCATCCCCACCATCGGGGGCCCTGGTGAATAAGCAGACTGGGGCTTAGACCCCGCGCCCTGGGGAATCCCGTTCTGTGGGTTGCTAGAGATACTGCCGGGTGGTTCATGACAGTCTTTTATTGAATGATAAAAGTAGAAGACATCTCCTGAATGGTGGAGAAACACTGAGGTTGACTCAATTTAGTTCTGGTAGCAGATGGCCAGTTACCTGTACTGCTGCTTAAGGTTTGTAGCTGTTGCCACTACTGTCAGGAATGGACTGGCCAGCAATAGTGGGACTCAGCTGCCTTATGAGCTGCAGTACCAGGGCTGGCCAGCGGGTGCTCCCAGCAATCAGAGACTCAACCTTGCAGCCAGTCAAACACCTGGAACTAATTATACTGGTGTATTTAAGGGACATTCAGACCTGCAGACTCTGCCTTGGTGTTGTGTTTCTCTTGGGCCCTGTATCCTGTTCCTGCTCTCTGTTCCTGTCTGATTCTCTGCTGACCCTGCTCTGATCCCTGGCTTGTCTGACCATTCTCCTCTGCCTGACCCTCTGTACCAGGCTGCCCGCTACCTGCTGAACCTGGCCTGTGACCCCGACCATTCTCCGCTTGCTCCCCCTGTACCTACCTGCCCGACTGATATTGACCCGGCCTGCCTAAAGACGCTTGCATTGTATGTACGGTTTCTCTGTGGGTGGTTTGGTTGGTTTGTTTGCACTGTGTTATGTTTAGTATTGCACTGCGTTTATGTTTGTATTGTTAGTGTTAATAAATTACATTGTTTATAACATATCTGAAGTCTGCGTTTCCCTGCGTCAGTCACACACCTCTGGTCATACCCGGGAGCCCTGACATTACACCAAGGCCAATCCTGACCAGAAGTGGCTGCACAGGGAAGCCATCTTGGTTTGTTGATGGGAAGGATGGATCTGGATGAGGTTGCGTATTTATCTCTGCTAGTGTTTGATGACAGGGAGTATGCTTATCAAACTCTGAAGGAGTATCCCCGGGATGAACTGCTAGAATGTATACGGCTCGCTCATGTTCTAGTAGATCAGGGCACAGAGTTCTCTGAGGTGCAGCCTTTGATTGAGGTTTGTGCTGAGTTGGTTTCATCTGGTTCCCCCGAATGCAGGGATGAATTTTTGCCACCATTTAGTGCAGACCAGGTAGAGTCCCTGGTGTGGTTATTAGAGGATGATGTGGATTGCTTCTTGGAGCGTTATTCCACATGTTCACCACAGACACTAAGAGATTGTATAAACGCAGTGCAGTCTTTGGTCAGACAGGCTTTGTGTAAGCTCAGCTTTGTTCAACCCATACTGCAGACATGGTCAGACTTGTTGCACCCAGCCTCAGTCAGCTTACAAAGACCCAGTCCTGCTTCTAATCTATTTCCTCAAAGCTCTATTCCTGCATTCCCAACAGCTCCTCCTGCTCTGCTATCTACCGCATGTCAGTACCCTGTTCCCACTCGCTGCACCTATCCTGCCTTTAACCCTGTAAAAAAGCCCTCTGTAGCAACTGCTCCCCTCCCCTGTTCCATCCTCCAGCTCTTCTCTGTCTCCAGCTGCTCCATTCGTTTGCAGACCTGCGTTTACTTGCAGTGCTCCAGTAGTTAAAACCAGAAAAAAGCGAAAATTCTTTCCAACCAATACCATCCTGCCAGTATCCAAACCGGTGAGCCTGCCGTCTGAGAACCTGCCTTCCGTGGTTCAGCCTGAAGCCTCTACTCAACCTGAATCCTCTACTCAGCCTGAAGCCTCTACTCAGCCTGATGCCTCTACTCGGCCTGATGCCTCTACTCAGCCTGATGCCTCTCTTCAGCCTAAAGCCTCTACTCAGCCTGAAGCCTCTACTCAGCCGGACGCCGGCATTCAGCCTGATGCCTCTACCCAGCATGATGAACTGATCCAGCCTGACAATCCTATTAGGCCAGTTGACTCGATTCCCGCTGTTGATCCAGATGATCCAGTACCTGATCCGGTGCCCGCTGTCATACCTGGTGACCCGATGCCCGCTGTCGAGCCAGACGATCCAATGCCTGGTGACCCAGTGCCCACTGCCTTGCCAGATGACGCGGTGCCCGCTGGCAAGCCAAATGACCTGATGCCTGGTGACCCAGTGCCCGCTGTCATACCTGGTGACCCGATGCCCTGTCGAGCCAGACAATCCGGTACCTGATGACCCGGTGCCCACTGTCGTGCCTGTTGACTCGGAGCCCACTGCCTTGCCAGATGACGCGGTGCCCGCTGTCGAGCCAAATGACCTGATGCCTGGTGACCCAATGCCCGCTGTCCAGTCAGACGATCCAATGTCTGACCCAGTGCCCGCGGTCATACCAGTTGACTCGGAGCCCACTGCCTTGCCAGATGACGCGGTGCCCGCTGTCGAGCCAAATGACCTGATGCCTGGTGACCCAGTGCCCGCTGTCATACCTGGTGACCCGATGCCCGCTGTCGAGCCAGACAATCCGGTACCTGATGACCCGGTGCCCACTGTCGTGCCTGTTGACTCGGAGCCCACTGCCTTGCCAGATGACGCGGTGCCCGCTGTCGAGCCAAATGACCTGATGCCTGGTGACCCGATGCCCGCTGTCCAGCCAGACGATTCAATGTCTGCCCCAGTGCCCGCGGTCATGCCAGTTGACTCGGAGCCCACTGCCTTGCCAGATGACGCGGTGCTCGCTGTCGAGCCAAATGACTTGATGCCTGGTGACCCGATTCCCGCTGTCCAGTCAGACGATCCAATGTCTGACCCAGTGCCAGCGGTCATGCCAGTTGACTCGGAGCCCACTGTCGTGCCTGGTGACTCGGTGCCCACCGCTTCGCCTGGGGGCCCGAGACCTGTCGCTCCGCCTGGGGGTCCGGCGCCCGCCGCACCGCCTGGGGGTCCGGCGCCCGCCGCCCCGCCTGGGGGCCCGAGACCTGTCGCTCCGCCTGAGGGCCCGAGACCTGTCGCTCCACCTGGGGGTCCGGCGCCCGCCGCTCCGCCTGAGGGCCTGAGACCTGTCGCTCCGCCTGGGGCCGGCGCCCTCCGCTCCGCCTGAGGGCCCGAGACCTGACGCTCCGCCTGGGGGTCCGGCGCCCGCCGCTCCGCCTGAGGGCCCGAGACCTGTCGCTCCACCTGGGGGTCCGGCGCCCGCCGCTCCGCCTGAGGGCCCGAGACCTGTCGCTCCACCTGGGGGTCCGGCGCCCGCCGCTCCGCCTGAGGGCCCGAGACCTGTCGCTCCGCCTGGGGGTCCGGCGCCCGCCGCTCCGCCTGGGGCCCGATGCCTGTCGCCCCGCCTGGGGGCCCGATGCCTGTCGCCCCGCCTGGGGGCCCGATGCCGGTCGCCCCGCCTGGAGACCCGATGCCGGTCACCCCGCCTGGGGGCCCGGTGCCTGTCGCCCCGCCCGGGGGCCCGGAGCCTGCTGCTCCGCTCGGGGGCCCGGTGCCTGCTGCTCCGCCTGGTGGCCGCTGCCTGCTGCTTCGCCTGGTAATCCGATGTGCCTCTGCCCAGAGTCCGGCCCGGTGTGCCTCTGCCCGGAGTCCGGCCCGATGTGCCTCTGCCCGGAGTCCGGCCCGATGTGCCTCTGCCCGAGTCCTGCCCGGAGTCCGGCCCGATGTGCCTCTGCCCGGAGTCCGGCCCGATGTGCCTCTGCCCGGGGTCCGGCCCGATGTGCCTCTGCCCGTGGTCCGGCCCGATGTGCCTCTGCCCGGAGTCCTGCCCGATGTGCCTCTGCCCGGAGTCCTGCCCGATGTGCCTCTGCCCGGAGTCCTGCCCGATGTGCCTCTGCCCGGAGTCCTGCCCGGTGTGTGCCTCTGCCCGATGTGCCCCCTGCCCGGAGTCCAGCCCGATGTGCCTCTGCCCGGAGTCCAGCCCGATGTGCCTCTGCCCGGAGTCCAGCCCGATGTGCCTCTGCCCGGAGTCCAGCACGATGTGGCTCTGCCCGGAGTCCAGCCCGATGTGCCTCTGCCCGGTGTGCCGCTGCCCGGAGTGCCTCTGCCCGGAGTCCAGCCCGATGTGCCTCTGCCCGGAGTCCAGCCCGATGTGCCTCTGCCCGGAGTCCAGCCCGATGTGCCTCTGCCCGGAGTCTAGCCCGATGTGCCTCTGCCCGGAGTCCTGCCCGATGTGCCTCTGCCCGGTGTGCCGCTGCCCGGAGTCCTGCCCGGTGTGCTAGTCTTTGATATCCCGCCAGTTACCAGACCCGGGCGGTGGAACATTTTGCCCAGCTAGGACTGTTTGGAGTGTCCTGAGGCCGCTCCTTGAGGGGGGGGTACTGTCAGGAATGGACTGGCCAGCAATAGTGGGACTCAGCTGCCTTATGAGCTGCAGTACCAGGGCTGGCCAGCGGGTGCTCCCAGCAATCAGAGACTCAACCTTGCAGCCAGTCAAACACCTGGAACTAATTATACTGGTGTATTTAAGGGACATTCAGACCTGCAGACTCTGCCTTGGTGTTGTGTTTCTCTTGGGCCCTGTATCCTGTTCCTGCTCTCTGTTCCTGTCTGATTCTCTGCTGACCCTGCTCTGATCCCTGGCTTGTCTGACCATTCTCCTCTGCCTGACCCTCTGTACCACGCTGCCCGCTACCTGCTGAACCTGGCCTGTGACCCCGACCATTCTCCGCTTGCTCCCCCTGTACCTACCTGCCCGACTGATATTGACCCGGCCTGCCTAAAGACGCTTGCATTGTATGTACGGTTATCTGTGGGTGGTTTGGTTGGTTCGTTTCCACTGTGTTATGTTTTAGTATTGCACTGCGTTTATGTTTGTATGGTTAGTGTTAATAAATTACATTGTTTATAACATATCTGAAGTCTGCGTTTCCCTGCGTCAGTCACACACCTCTGGTCATACCGGGAGCCCTGACAACTACTCTCTAGTACAGCACACACAGCGGCCTCATCATTCTGTAATGGAAATTGTTCACTTGGGCCAGTATGACTATTTAAATTCAAAGTAAACCTGGAATTCTACTATACGTATCTTTGTTGTATTAGAGGACTCTACCTGGTACGGTGGAGTAGAAACAAAGGAAGTCCGCCTCCACTGGGATCCTGTCTCCAGAATGGGCATCCACTTCCAGGGAGCTGTTGGCTGGTCCATCGTCGTCTGTCTGCACCCCCTTGTCATGCTTTGGGCCTTGGCAAGCCTGAAATAGACATTCAATTCATGACATTAATTTGCAGCTTCTCCTGTGGATTACAGGACTGCTTTCTCGTACTGTTGGCTAGTGTCAATTGACTAGTCCAAGCTGGGGAAAGATCCTGACTTTCAAGTCGTGATCCACCCAGTTGCCTGGACCAGTAGATGGCTCACTCAACCTCTCAGCAAGATGCTGAGCCAGATGCTCCTGCCTCTCCACAGCCTGCAACTCCAGTCAGCACTGGTTAGGGCAAAACAAAACAACAGTCACTGACAGACTGTTCACAGAACACTGAGAACTGATCGATCAACGATCTTTGATCGCTCAGTTCTCAGTCTTGGAGATGGCAGGGGACAGATGCTGCATCCACCTAGGTGAGTAAAATAAAAAGCCAAAAGCCACACTTCTCTTTTAATTGTATTGGATGCAGAATGCAGTGAATTCTGGCAGGAGATTGGGAATTCATGGGCTGGCAATGCAAATCAAAGTAATACCAAATCCAAATTACTTCCTTTTCCCTTCCTCCACCGACACTGGCACAGCATGCAATGTCTTAGGGAATATGTAGTGCCCTCTAGGTAGATAGGCTTTGTTGTTTTTTAGTTAGAGGCTGGGTAACAGCCTAGGATGAGTCGAACTGAGAGTGAGGTAGTGAGGTCACCTCAGGACAGGCTGGGAGGCTCTAACAGGTCAGGGCTTCTGGTGCCCTCCCACCTTTCCAAAAGCTTAGAAAACTGTCTGAAACGGGTGGAGGCCCAGATCTGCATGTTTAGGGGACTTTGGTCAAACCCCTGGGAACAGGTTGGGCATGGTGACCAAGGGCAACATATAAATGTGGCAGAGCCTGTGCAGCAAGGCAGTGTTGGGTGAAAGACAGAGAGAAAGGCTGGAGTTTGGAACCTGGGAGGGAGCCCCAGGGAGGGAAGCCAAGCTACAGGCTGGTTGCTGGGGCAGAAGGGTCTCCACTGTCCCACTGCCTCCTGGGGCGGATGACCTGTATGTCGGGAAGAAGCCAGTGAAGAAGCCAGTCCGGCAAAAAGGCCTGAAAGCAGTTTTAACCCAGCAGGCAAACAGGACTGGACAGTGAGGACTTCTACACCCCCTACAGTTCCTTGGGCACCCCATATACCCTTAGATCCCATCCAAGTTGTTAACTCCTTAGTAAAATATTCCTTGAGCTGTTTCTTAGTTTTTCTATTGACTGTGCAAGTGGAAATGTGAAGAAAATGTGTGTTGCCTGGCCATGCATAGCTTAAGGGGACTCAAATCTCAGCGACTCCTATGGGGATAGGGCTACATGTATCGAAAGCCCAAATTGTTTTTGGATGGAGGGAGGAATAGAGGGGAAATCTTCCAAGAAGGACTCCTGTTCCGGTGCCAACGGTTCTCTCCACTTTGAAAAGATTTACTCCCACTTCCTGTTGTGTCTCTGGGACAGGAAGTTAATAAAACAAGGATCTTAACTCTGTCCTACTCTATCCATGACACTGCACTTGCTCTAATGACAATATGAAAAAAAAAATTGTGACACTGCAATTGTGACACTGTACACAACATCTATATGAATGACAGCCCTCACTACTGTTAATGTGATTGGTCACAGTAATCATATGGTACAGGGCTGAGCACAAGACAAGCAAGCAGGAGGATGCACCCTCACATCCTCCCAGAATGATGCTTGTCCCACCTAGCCATTCATCTACAGTGGCGGAAAGAAGGTAACATTCTAGCAGGAAATCACTAAGATATATATATCAGCTCAGTGCACATCTTACCTGGATAAAGAAGAGTTTTGGTTTCCCGACTAGACTTTCACATTTATCTCCTCGGAAAAGTGTTGTCAGAGTTTTTATCGGTATCAGCCCATCTTTGCCGTAGATCTGACCCTCCTCACCGTGGCTCAGGAGGATGCAGGCAAAGCAAGCGCTGTCACGGTGGTTGGAGTTCGCCTCTAACAAGAGAAAGGACAACATCTGTTAATTCTTCCATCGTTTCTGGTCCTCCGCCACAATGTATACTGAAGAGGAACTGCAACACGTTACTACAAGCTCACTTGTTGTTGTCATATTCACCTAAAAGTCACTTTTCCTGGCAATGTTACAGGTTTTCTGTTCCAGATTTGATTTTTGGGTTAGAGTAGAGATTTCCTGAATTTAAAATATTGGCACACAGATAAGATCATATATTTATTTTCCAGGTTGGTCTGAATTAACATTAAATATACAGTATGTGAGTCCCACACCTCCTCCGCATTGACACTGCCTGGACACAGTGGTGTCACTAGGGTTGGCGTCACCCCCAACACCAAAATATTTATTCCCACTTTCTGAAAGTGCAACAAAGATGCAGAACACGGGACTTTTGGTGCGCTTTCACAATAATCAGGAAAAAAAAATGCACAACCTAAAAGAAATCAAAAGCAGCTATACCTGTGGGTAAAATACAAGAAACCCATTACATTACACAGCCCCTGCTCCTCTGGACCCCTTTACATTCTACAGCCCCTGCTCCTCTGGACCCCTTTACATTCTACAGCCCCTGCTCCCATGGCCCCCTTTACATTCTACAACCCCTGCTCCTCTGGACCCCTTTACATTCTACAGCCCCTGCTCCTCTGGACCCCTTTACATTACACAGCCCCTGCTCCTCTGGACCCCTTTACATTCTACAGCCCCTGCTCCTCTGGACCCTGTTACACTACACAGCCCCTGCTCCTCTGGACCCCTTTACATTCTACAGCCTCTGCTCCTCTGGACCCTGTTACATTACACAGCCCCTACACATTACACAGCCCCTGCACCTCTGGACCCCTTTACATTACACAGCCCCTGCACCTTTGGACCCCTTTACATTACACAGCCCCCTGCACCTTTGGACCCCTTTACATTAAACAGCGCCCTGCACCTTTGGACCCCTTTACATTACACAGCCCCCTGCACCTTTGGACCCCTTTACATTACACAGCCCCTGCACCTTTGGACCCCTTTACATTACACAGCCCCCTGCACCTTTGGACCCCTTTACATTACACAGCCCCCTGCATCTCTGAACCCCTTTACATTACACAGCCCCTGCACCTTTGGACCCCTTTACATTACACAGCCCCTGCACCTTTGGACCCCTTTACATTACACAGCCCCCTGCACCTTTGGACCCCTTTACATTACACAGCCCCTGCACCTTTGGACCCCTTTACATTACACAGCCCCCTGCATCTCTGAACCCCTTTACATTACACAGCCCCTGCACCTTTGGACCCCTTTACATTACACAGCC